CTATCTCCGTTGCGGACACTATTCATTCCGGTGAAATCACAAAATAAAATGCACACAAACATGTGTCCTATATACGTGTGTGCTTGATATAGACTGTAACCACTGATAAACATATTCGGTTTTGATGAGAGAAAAAAAAAACTATACCGAGGGCGGATTCGAACCCGTAACCTCTGACACGCTTGGCAAAATATCTATCACTAGACCACTGAAGTACTCACACAAAATATGCGGATCGATATATTTCACTAAATCATTATAACCTAAGCAGTTATTCAAAAAGTTTACACGAGCGTATAAGCTTACACGAATTTTAGGGATATTGTGAGGTAATATTTCCTATGTCAAAAGCTACCTAGCCAAAACTAGGCAAAATATAGTCTGAAAATTCATTTGAGCTCTATGATCAGAAAAGGAATTACAAACACTAAACAACTTACTCAGAGCTTGTATCCTCGGCAGGGGTCAATTCGTTCTTCAAAATGCAGCCGTTCGTTCTTCAAAATGCAGCCGTTCGTCGTCCAAGTTTCAAATTCCTCTGAGGAAAATGTGAATTCGTCCCCACTGTCCATAATCCTTTGAAGGAGTAGCGTGCTGCCATCCTCAAAACGCGATGAACTATCAGTGATTCTGATGAAGAAAGTTACTTCGTGTTGTTATGGCATGGATCTGGGGGCGTGCCGCATGTGCGATGCATAGATCGCCTATTTACCATGTGAAAAGCTCTAGGGGCGTGGCAGCCTCAGCTAATTAAAGATAATGAAGGGAGAACGAAAAAACTGTACCTCTCCTTGGTTTCAAACGGATTACATAAACTGGAAATATATATATAAAAAAAAATGTACTTCATTTAAAAGAAGAGAATTTCAGCTTCATAAAGAGAAATCTCTCGTACTATCAGTGATTCTGATGAAGAAAGTTACTTCGTGTTGTTATGGCATGGATCTGGGGGCGTGCCGCATGTGCGATGCATAGATCGCCTATTTACCATGTGAAAAGCTCTAGGGGCGTGGCAGCCTCAGCTAATTAAAGATAATGAAGGGAGAACGAAAAAACTGTACCTCTCCTTGGTTTCAAACGGATTACATAAACTGGAAATATATATATAATTTTTTTTTTACTTCATTTAAAAGAAGAGAATTTCAGCTTCATAAAGAGAAATCTCTCGTATCTCTGTGACAAGTATTGACAGAGTTACAGTTATTTTTTCGGACGCGTTTCAGAATGGACTTCACTGACAGAGAGAACGCAGAACGCGCATCATGTTTATTTTTCTTTATTTGACGAAAAGCACAACACTTTGTTTTTATTGTGAGTATCCACTAAAAAAATAGAAACTTAACAGGATCTAATGATGTAGAACACTTAAATGTAAGATCAAAATCAACAGAGTATTTTGAGTCTCTTTTGCACTGATAAGAAAAAAAGCGAGCAGATCACGCCGGCGTGATTGCCGACCCCAGAGAGTTAAAGCAATGAATTTTGCATTGCTCAGGTCCTCCACCAGTTTGGCTTTCACTTTGTTGTAAAGTTGAGGCAAAACATTCTGACTAAAATGCGGTCGGCTCGGTAGTTGATATCTGGGCTCTAACACACGTAGCAAATGCGTGAATCCGTCGTTCTCAACAACTGAAAATGGGCGCATATCCAGCGCCATGAAAACACCAATTGCCTTGGTAATTGCTTGAGCATGGTCTGAGTCGGCCTGTAGCTTAATTTTAAAAGCAGTAGAAAGAGTTTCCTGTTTTTGAGGTCTCTTACGTGTGCTGCTGTCAATGTCGGGATGATGTCTCCGGAGATGCGCTTGCATGTTAGAAGGGTTTCCCGTCGTATGAGCAACTTTTGTGAAACACTTACGACAGACGACGCGCGTTTTGTCTATGACACGATTTCCATTATTGTAGTCCACTGGAAAACCTGGGGTGCGTTTCCCGAAAGCATCGTTAGCCAACTATGGTCGCAAGTTCCGTCGTTACCAATAGAGTTCAATGGGATTTGCGACCAACTTGCGACCATAGTTGGCTAACGATGCTTTCGGGAAACGCACCCCTGGTCAGTTCTTTTTAATGTTACTGTTTTTTGTGTGTGTGTACCCTCTGCCCATCTGCCTGCCTGTACCTGATTGTTGTTTTATTTAAGTAAATCTTTGAATTGGAGCTATTTGCCTCAGCCTTTCTTTATCTGTACCACAACCGTGACAGAAGAACTGACCAAAGAAATCGATTTTGCAGCAGTCTAGATCCTTCTCCTTTCCCAGGAGGATCAGTCCCTCGAGGCCCACACACAGAGGTATTTGGACTTGGACCTCTAGTTCATTATGATGACACCAGCCTCTGTGTTCTTCCGGGCAGGCCTCAACGCTGAGACCAAAGCACGCCTCCCCGGAGATGGGCCTCGGGGGAACTTCGTGACCTGTGTGGAGTGGGTATATTGACCAGCTGTAACTCTCCCTTCACCATTGGACCAGGAGAAGAGTCTTCTTTACCGCTGGTCCCGTCCAGCCCAGCCGAGCCTTCACCGCTGTTCCCGTCCAGCCCAGCCCAGCCGACTTAATAATCTTAAAAATATTCTATAAACATTCTTATAAACATGTTCTTTGTTTCATTGAGAATTTGTATTACAGTGAGTGAGATTCCTGCTCCACCACCTGAGTATGACGGTCAGATCAATTTGAAAGACTTTTGGACATCCGTGACTGCCGAAGTAGTTTGCCGGGGCCTATTGGGCAGTAAGAAGTTATTTTGTTTTTGTTAGAGTTAGACATACAAGTTTAGCACTTTGCATAATGGATAGCTACAGTTGTTTTAAAATAATTGCATTAGACTAAATCGAGCAAGGGGAATTACTAACCAAATGTGTATATATTTAGTAGTTTTAACTGTTTTTACTTATTGAAAAAGGACATTTTTTCAGGTGCCCGTCAAAATCCTTTTTTGGTGTCACCATCATACCACTACTGGGCTCCTTGGATTGGTCCCAACACCAGATGAGAAGATACAGTTTTAAATACTGAGTATGCCAAGATGCACGCCCCAAGACCAGCTACTGAAGAAGCCGAACTTCAAGTTACAGACGAGAGGCTAGAGAAGTGCTTACCAATCTGTTTTCTACATAAACAAATCAATATATTGGATACTTTTTTATTGCGACCTTGTATGTGCAGGTGGATGTGGTGCAGCGCCTTTGCAAGCAATGTGGTCTGGACCCATCAGGTTCCAAAATGGATCTTGTTCTAAGACTTAGACAGGAGATGAGAAACAGGTAGGATTACTTTTGAGAAATATTTTAGTCCATGTAATGTGAATAGTGTTGTGTTCAACACAGGGTATTGATTCAATATAGTTTTTGTTTAAGACAGCTTAGAATTGTATATTTATTAGCGTAACCAAAACATATTTATTTTCTTTTTTAGGGGGTTGGGCAGTCATCACATGCCCCTGTGGAGTTGTGTATTCCCTGAAGTTCCTTCTTCGGGCAGAGTCTCTGCGGGACTACACAGATTGTCTTTTGTCTTTTAAACATTTCCCAAATATCAATATCTATGACTTTGCAAGGGGCTTAGCCACACACACACTAACCTTAGGGAGCCAGAATGTATCCCTTTCAGACCTTATGAGGGACGACTAAAAGATCCTACTCCAGAAAATATCAAACTAGCCGTTGAGGGTCAACTGAAAGTAAACCTCCTTTTGGTTGAAGGAAAAGAAGGACCATGTGGATCCAGATTGTCACTAGGGATGGGAATTGATAAGATTTGATCAATATCAATGCCACTAACGATTCTGCTTATCGATCCGATTCTTTAACGATTCTGTTATCGATTCCTGATAGCACTGTGTGGAAAAAAGTAGTCATATGCTTTTTCGGGGGAAAAAACAAGTGGTTTTATTTGTTTTAAAGCTATACACTTGAGTAAGCAAACTGTACTTTTTATGTAATTTATGTAATAAATGGAACCTTATTGTAAAGTGTCACCAATTAGTTATACACCGATTAAACGTCCCGTGAGTTCCGTGTTTGGAAAGATCAGTTGTTTTAACCATTTATTAAAACGAATCGGTTCAAATGAGTCATTAGTTCGCAAATTAGAAGTGTCATTATCGGACGTGTGCGCGTTGTGTGATTATCCTGGCGGTTGGGACATCCCACAAGATGTGTGTCATCACAGAAAACATTTCATCACTGGATAGTTTTTTTCGTTCATTTAAAGTGTGGTTTATGTCAGCTGAATGTGCGGAACGCTTTTCAGAGAAGATAAGGCAACGTATTTTAGCACAATTCACACCCAGCGGTAGCCTAATTCAGGAAAAACAAATCTCCGAATGCTCCATAAGAAACTTTAGTCTCCCGACCTTACCATCGTGTCGTTTATTTTGATTAATATGTGCGAGGGAGAGAGAGCAAGACAGCGCTTAGTTTTGAGATGGTGAAGCCATATACTTTCGTCTTGCTCCGAAGAGAGAGAGTGCGCGCGCGCGACCGGGGCTCTCTCTCTCTCTCTGCTCGTTCAGTTTAAAACATGCGCACTGTCATAAGCGCAGCAGTTCATCTACATTACTCACCGATCAAATAAGACTTTGGCGGTACAAAAATTAGCTTTGGAGGTCGTGCTATGGTGCTTGATAAAGGACAAAAGGGACAGTTGTGAGTTCACGGTCTGTATACATACTATGGCTGACTCAGAGCAGGAGCATCGATAAGAGGACTCGTTAACGTCGAGGGCATACAATATCGATGGATCGTAAAACTTAGAACCGGTTCTCGAGTGGAACCGGTTTTCAATTCCCATCCCTAATTAGCCCCTTTTCCACCGAAGCATTTTGAGAGCCGGTTCGGAGCCGGTGCCTACTCGCGAACCAGTTCTTTGTGTTTCGACAGCCAAAGAACCAGTTCTCGGCCAGGGGAACTGGTTCCAAAGCGGCACCAACTCTTTGCTGGACTAGAACCGTTCTTTTACCACGTCATGCTTACGTCGGGGGCTGTGGGCGGGGTTATTGTGACCAACAACACAACGGGATGGGAAAGGTTGTGACCGCCATTGCTAAAAACACAGCGCTAGTAAAGATAGTAACAACGATTGAAGAATGGATTCTAAAGCGAAACAGTGGTCGGTGGAGGAGACAAACTGTTTGTTAGCGATATGGTCTTCGGCAGAGGTACAGCAAAAAATAGAAGGTGCTTCGAGAACAAAACATGTGTTCGAGGAGATCCAGAGGGAGATGGCTGCAGCAGGATTTAACAGAACCATAGAGCAGATCAATAACAAGTTAAAAAAACTAAAAAAGGATTACAGGGACCAAAAGAAGGAATTGGGCCGAAGTGGTAATGGACGGCCACGCAGTAGAAATACCCATTTTGAGGTTTTGGACTCGGTCCTCGGCGACAGACCGGCGTGCCAGGTCACCGGCGCATTAAATTCAACAACTGTTATGCTAGAGTCTATGGTGGTGGATGAGACGCTGCTGCAGGGTATTGCCAACAACGTTACTGATTCTGGTAAGTTTAACTTTTCTAATGTTTCACCTTGTTGCAAACCAACTATACATTTCTTAGCTGTTTCGTTTGCAATGCTACTTATTAGTAGCGGTGCTTGCTTGAGTCAGCTAGCTAGCATGCTATTGCTAACAATAGCTAACGCAGACACTGAATAGGGTGCAATGGAAACTTTTGTGATTGAAACACTGTCTTATTTTTGTTGTTTATAGAGTTGTTGGCCATTGATGATTGTGAACCTGACCGGGAGCTACCGCTACCACTCCACTGCAGCTCACCAGTACCGTCTTGCAGCTCAGCAGCTGAAACCTCCTCATCTTCCTCTTCCAGTCGGTCAACCAGAAAGGGTAAGGATTGTTGTTATGAGTATCAACAAACTGAAATATATCAGTCTTCATTAAATAATTCACTGCAGATCTGTTGTATTTGATTAGATAGCATAAAGTGCTCAATAGTGTGTACTAGTGTACAGATATGATAGTAGATATACATTATAAGGTGTATCAGTGTAGTATTATATCATATAATATTATTTTTTTAATGTTGCATTGACTCTTGTGTCAGATTCTTTACAATTGCTAAATACACAAAGATCTGTGTTAATTTTTATGTTTTTTTTTGGTGCACAGGCAAAAGGAAACGAGACATGAATGGGGAGCTGCTGGAATATTTTGAGAGGTCTGATGAAAGGTTCCTGCAGCACTGCAAGGACATGAATGATACCTTGCTGAGGAAATTGGATGCAGACTCAAGTGCAATGCTTGGACTAATGGAGCGTATGGTCACAGTGATGGAGAGGCAACCCCACTGAATCAGAAAGAAACAATCTTGCACACTTTGCACTGCACACACTTTAATATTTTGTGATTTTTTTGTACTTGTTTTTAAATAAACGTTTTATAAAGAAACATGTCTGCTGTGGTATGCTTAATCAAGAGAGAAACAAATGCAAGTAATCAAGGTGTACGAATTTTTTTTTATTTACATTTGTGCTGAAATTGTGTATTTTATTTACACACTGCTGCATTTCAGGAAACCAGAAAGAGATAACTCAGCAAGTAAACATAAAAATGTAACATCTGGTGTTATGGCAGTTTAATTATTTAACAAAAAAACACAGGTAGAATTGCAATGTATGGCAGTGGTAAGGAAAAAAAAATCAGTCATTCCCTGTACAAAAGTACTGTATTAACGCAGCTCTGATGTCAGCCCCTTCTTGATTACCATGTTCAGGTACCGCCTGGACAGGAGGCTGAATGTTTATAGGCCTGTCTTGATGCTCCTCTGTAAAGTTATCCCCATGTTCCTCACAAATGTTGTGAAGCACACAGCAGGCGAGTGTCATTTGCTTGCTCAGCTCCAGCTTGCAGTCATTTCTTTTTAGGAGGCACCTCCATCGACCTTTTAGTCTCCCAAAACACATCTCCACAACTGACCGTGCACTGCTCAGCCGGTAATTGTAGGTCCGTTGTTCATGTGTCAGTCTGCCAGTGTCTGAAAAGGGCTTCATGAGCCAGTTCTGCATGGGGTAAGCTGGGTCACCAATTAAATAATATCCAACATCACACCCAGAGATGTTCATTTTATTTTGGCCTAATAACTCCCCGTCATTTAGGACTTCCCACAAATTTGACTGTCTCAGTACTCTTGCGTCGTGAACACTACCTGGATAGCCAACGCATACATCCCAGAAAAGACCTTTGCCATCAACCACTGCTTGGAGAATAATTGAATGCCATCCTTTCCGGTTGTAATAGTCTCTAGGGTACTCCTCTGGTGCAATTATAGGGATGTGACTTCCATCTATTGCTCCAACACACTGTGGTACTCTCCAACGATTCTGGAAGAATGTGGCCAGTTCTACAAGCTTGTCAGCGTCAGGAAATGAAATGTGCATAGGAAGCAGCACCCTGTTGACTGCGTAGCAAAAGTCCTGAACACAGTTAAACACAGTGCTGAGGCCTACCCCAAAAAGATGGCTTATGGTCCTGTATTCGCTGCCGGTGGCCAGTTTCCAGATGGCAATTGCCACTCGCTTTCGGATTGTGACACACATACGGTAATTTGTGTTTTTTCTCCCCATGTCAGGCCTGAGTCGACCACAGATGTACTCAAATGACTCCCGGGACACTCGGAAACTATGCAAAAACTGTTGAGCGTTGAAATCCGGAACGATTGTGTCCCACCAGTGCTGAGATCGTGGGTGTGCCCAGACAACAGGCGGTCTCCGTCTTGCGATGTGCCGCAATACTAACGTTGCCTGTAAAGATAAAAATCGGTTCACCATTATTTTTTTGTGTTTATTTCCAATGTAATCTATAGTTAGTCTGCGCTACCGGTACATACTGTAGCTAACGTTAGCATTAGAGCTAGCGGCCTGGCATTTGCATCCAACAAGAGCTAACATCAATAATAATAAGAACCGAAACAAGTTATATAATTACCCTTCTTCTCGAACGTAACCTCCGTCTACAGTTATCCAGACGAGCAGCACAAATGTGTTCTATACGTCTTCTTCTGACCCCAATATAAGATTGCAAAGCCAGGAGAAACATTTGCAGAAATCCGATGTAGTCCGCCATTGTAACTGTTATGCTTGGAGTTGGCGCAAGCGTTTCTGGGAAGGCTAAGACGTATGGCGACGTACACAGTGACGTAATGACGTCGTTCGCTGGGCTCTTTAGTCAGTGGAAAAACAAACAGGTTCTGAGAAGGTTCGCAAGTTGAACCAACTTCGAACCAACTTTGAACCAGCACCAGTTCCGAACCAGTTCTTTTTTTGGTGGAAAAGGGGTAATTGTCACCCTGTTACAGGTTCAGCTGAACATTATGCACTTTACGATCTGTTTCATGAAAATAATACAAAAGATGCTCGAGATGAACTGCGTAAAATTCAGATAGTCCCAGATTTGGCAGGCTGGGTGAACAGTCAATGTGCTGAACAGCTTTTTTCTGACATGAGAAAAAACAATTACTTCCTCAACACACTCACTCCATCTGGACACATTTTCATGATGCGAAATATACTACAGCGTTACAACACAAAACAAAATAAGAAGATAGAAGATGGCATCAGAAAGATTGTACCACAAAATGCCCAGTTGCATTTAGATGTACATGGCCAAATAATAATGGGTAACTCAGTTCATTTGTTTATACATTTTTATTCCTGTCATGACTTTTCTGTTGGTTATATTACATTTTTTGCTTTATTGGTGCTACCCCAGTAGCCACAGCCTCAGATGGGACACCTGCAGCCACAGCCTCAGATGGGACACCTGCAGCCACAGCCTCAGATGGGACACCTGCAGCCACAGCCTCAGATGGGACACCTGCAGCCACAGCCTCAGATGGGACACCTGCAGCCACAGCCTCAGATGGGACACCTGCAGCCACAGCCTCAGATGGGACACCTGCAGCCACAGCCTCAGATGGGACACCTGCAGCCACAGCCTCAGATGGGACAACTGCAGCCACAGCCTCAGATGGGACACCAGCAGCCACAGCCTCAGATGGGACACATGCAGCCACAGCCTCAGATGGGACACCTGCAGCCACAGCCTCAGATGGGACAACTGCAGCCACAGCCTCAGATGGGACACCTGCAGCCACAGCCTCAGATGGGACACCTGCAGCCACAGCCTCAGTTGGGACACCAGCAGCCACAGCCTCAGATGGGACACCTGCAGCCACAGCCTCAGATGGGACAACTGCAGCCACAGCCTCAGATGGGACACCAGCAGCCACAGCCTCAGATGGGACACCTGCAGCCACAGCCTCAGATGGGACACCTGCAGCCACAGCCTCAGATGGGACAACTGCAGCCACAGCCTCAGATGGGACACCTGCAGCCACAGCCTCAGATGGGACACCTGCAGCCACAGCCTCAGATGGGACACCTGCAGCCACAGCCTCAGATGGGACAACTGCAGCCACAGCCTCAGATGGGACACCTGCAGCCACAGCCTCAGATGGGACACCTGCAGCCACAGCCTCAGATGGGACACCTGCAGCCACAGCCCCAGATGGGACACCTGCAGCCACAGCCTCAGATGGGACACCTGCAGCCACAGCCTCAGATGGGACACCTGCAGCCACAGCCTCAGATGGGACAACTGCAGCCACAGCCTCAGATGGGATACCTGCAGCCACAGCCTCAGATGGGACACTGAGATGGGACACCTGCAACCTACTGCCTCAGATGGGACACCTGCAGCCACAGCCTCAGATGGGACACCTGCAGCCACAGCCTCAGATGGGACACCTGCAGCCACAGCCTCAGATGGGACACCAGCAGCCACAGCCTCAGATGGGACACCAGCAGCCACAGCCTCAGATGGGACACATGCAGCCACAGCCTCAGATGGGACACCTGCAGCCACAGCCTCAGATGGGACAACTGCAGCCACAGCCTCAGATGGGACACCTGCAGCCACAGCCTCAGATGGGACACCTGCAGCCACAGCCTCAGATGGGACAACTGCAGCCACAGCCTCAGATGGGACACCTGCAGCCACAGCCTCAGATGGGACACCTGCAGCCACAGCCTCAGATGGGACAACTGCAGCCACAGCCTCAGATGGGACACCTGCAGCCACAGCCTCAGATGGGACACCTGCAGCCACAGCCTCAGATGGGACACCTGCAGCCACAGCCTCAGATGGGACACCTGCAGCCACAGCCTCAGATGGGAAACCTGCAGCCACAGCCTCAGATGGGACACCTGCAGCCACAGCCTCAGATGGGACAACTGCAGCCACAGCCTCAGATGGGACACCTGCAGCCACAGCCTCAGATGGGACACCTGCAGTCACAGCCTCAGATGGGACACCTGCAGCCACAGCCTCAGATGGGACAACTGCAGCCACAGCCTCAGATGGGACACCTGCAGCCACAGCCTCAGATGGGACACCTGCAGCCACAGCCTCAGATGGGACACCTGCAGCCACAGCCTCAGATGGGACACCTGCAGCCTGCAGCCACAGCCTCAGATGGGACACCTGCAGCCACAGCCTCAGATGGGACACCTGCAGCCACAGCCTCAGATGGGACACCTGCAGCCACAGCCTCAGATGGGACACCTGCAGCCACAGCCTCAGATGGGACAACTGCAGCCACAGCCTCAGATGGGACACCTGCAGCCACAGCCTCAGTTGGGACACCTGCAGCCACAGCCTCAGATGGGACACCTGCAGCCACAGCCTCAGATGGGACACCTGCAGCCACAGCCTCGGATGGGACACCTGCAGCCACAGCCTCAGTTGGGACACCTGCAGCCACAGCCTCAGATGGGACAACTGCAGCCACAGCCTCAGATGGGACACCTGCAGCCACAGCCTCAGATAGGACACCTGCAGCCACAGCCTCAGATGGGACAACTGGATCCGTGGCTAGGCTGATGCATGCGGAAAGGGAAATAAAAGACTTTCGGCGCTGGGAAGGCCCGAAAACATTGGTAAATTTCCTTTTTACAGTATCCAATGGACCTTTTGATTGTCATTTCACCAACACTTGTTTGTGCTCCACAAAATAACTCAATTCTGTTGTCAGGGAAATTGTGGAGAGTGCTGATATGTATTTTTCATTTTCCAGCATGACTATGTGTTAGATTGCACAAAGCCACAGGACGAAGTAGTCTGCTCTGTCGGCACAAAAATCTTAAGAAGAGCAGATTGTGTTGGTCTGGGAACCAATTGTGAACTGGAGGCAACAGTAAGTAACATTTATACGGTTCCATTACGGTTTGCCTGTGCTAACATTATTCTTTTGCTAGGTTGTAAACTGCTGCCTTTCATTGATATGCCACCTTGCTGGACAGAAGGTATGTTATGATTTAATTTATATTTAATACCTCGTGTGAATCCATAGGTTGTTATGGAAGTTATGGTTTTGATATAGCTATACTTAATCACTTTCATCTGATATTAGGGATTAGGTGTCCTTGCTGTGGATTCCTATGTATTGGCATGTTGGAGTCCACCTCACTGCGTAGACCCTTTTGAGCCACTACCAGTTAGTGGTTATTACTTCATATAATTACAATTTGATTAAAGAGATGTGTTTGTACTCTACACTGTTGTTGCACTATCAACTTTGATCTGTGTAATTTGCCCACCAACAGGCAGATGCAGCATTTAAAGACTGCATCCTTTTTCCAATATGGACACCTGGACACTGGCACTTGTGTGTGAGTTTTGACTGTCAATTGTGTCATCTTTTAGCATTTTAAATAGGTGTTGAAGACAGACATGTTGCAGTTTTACTAATGATGAGTGAGTAAGCAGTAGGTTTGTACATTCCAACGTGAGATATACAAGACCAATGCACTGGTCCGTCAACATTGTTTTAATTGATTTACACATGTTCACAGGTCATGAAGCCCAAACTTAAAAGGATGTACATTCTTGATTCATCCGACCCTTGTGGTTTTGGGCAGGCGTATTATGTGTCCATGTTCAGGTTTTCTACTAATATTTAGGGACTGTTCTTTGTCCCCTGTTCAGTGCGAGGTTTGGGACTGTTCTTTGTCATCTGCTGTTCAGTGCAAAGTTGACTGCTGTTTGTGTACTTTTTAATGTTTGCATGTTTGTTGTTGAGATGGTCCTTGCTTAAAAGATCCAACTCTATCTCTATCATAAAGACTGAGCCAGAGTGGTTTATTTAGAAATGTAACTATTCTTCTACAACAATTCTTTTAAATTTCTTCAATGCCAAAATCTGTTGAAATTCAGTAGTAAGCACAATGTTGGTTTAGGCCTAGTCAACCACTGAAAGAATGACATTAAGTAAGGAATAATTGACGACAGGCCGTTGAATTATTAGAAAAATAATGCACACCCGAGGTGGTAATGCGGTCACGACGCGAAGCGGAGGCAATTATTCCGCTTATACTACAGTTACCACACCTCAAAACATTGTTCAGATGATGCATTTCAAGACGTTTGTCAAGTTTTTGTCATTAAAACGCTCTTGAATGTAGGACTAATTTCTTACGCATCTAATCCCATGCCTCCGTTGCTAATTCCAAAACGTAATTTTAGAGTTCGTAACGGAGGTTTGAGCCACTGATAGCAGACTAATGATGGGGACACACTTACGACTTGCTGAAACATTCGAAGACTGACTGTTTCCATCGACTGTAGCAGCTGTTAAACACAGACTGTGAACAGACTGAACGCGCTGAACACGTGTTTGGGCATGTAATAAGTATCAAATTACATTCATAACTGGCCTTATAATCAGTGTGTCCCGGCTTTCAGTGTGTCCCGGCTTTATGCAGTTATTAATGCCGTTTTTAGAGAGAGAGAGAGAGAGAGAGAGAGAGAGAGAGAGAGAGAGAGAGAGAGAGAGAGAGAGAGATGTTGCAATAATGAGACAGAAAAGCATGTGCGTCAATATTATTATTTATTTATTAATTAAATTTGTTTTAATTAATTCGTTCATTCTTGTTTTCTATAATTGACAGTAGATAACCCAATAAATGAAACACACAAAGCCCTTTTAACAAGTAGGCCTATCAATAATTATTTATTTGTTGTATTATCTGGAATAATTACGAAAACCCAGCAGGACTATCAATTTATTTATATAGCCTATTCAATTTAATTTTCTATTTAGCCTATAGATAGGACTACATACTTTATTTATTAAAATTAAACTGTATGTGTCCATTGATTGTGAAGTTAGACATAGAAAATTGCAGATCAAGTGCATGGGGCTGCATGTTTTTTCTTGTTATGAATTGTATCCTATTTTCCGTTATTACGCGCAGTGATATGGAACTGTAATGCGGTCAAACCTGCCTGGAACTACTTTAGCCGTGCGTTTCCCTGAAAATAATTGCACACCTTAGAACGTTCTCAACCAATCAGAATCAAGCATTCAACAGCCCTGTAGTATAAAAAGAACTAAGAGTAGAGAACAAAGTACATGGTAAACTTGCTACTGCAACCCAAATAGCGGGTTTTTCAAAATCTGACCTATAGAGGTGGATCCTAAGTTTAAAACTGTTTTCAACTTTTAAGAAAGTTTTAACTCTGTATCTGTTCTCTTTTGAAGCATGATCGCAACAAAATTGATAGCTGGAAACTGGCAACTCGTTAAGAACAAGGTACATTGCACTCAGCATTCAACACTGTTTTCTGACAACTATCATCTTTACAAAATGTATATAGTATGTTTTGGATTTTTGCCAGGATATTCCACCATTGCAAAGTGACCACCTGGACTGTGGAGTGTTCATGCTAATGGTAACCTTCAAGTTAACCTTACCTGACCTTGGAGATTGTATTTTCGGTTTTTCAAAGGCAATGGGTATAGGAAGAATTTGTAAGTGCTAGGAAATGTATAATTTAAAAAAATGAATAACTTATGTGTTACAGTATGCACTATACATTACTTTTGAGTGGCCATTTGATTTTACCCAGGTGAGAGCCTTTAATTTATTACAGAAATTTTTTGATGACTCTTTCATTGTTTCAGTTTTTGATGTTTTTTTTTGGTTCTTGTTTCCTTAGACTGACATGCCTTTAATCCGAGAGTGTTGGCTGAACCTAGCATTGAAGTGCATGAGCCATGAAAGGTGAGAATCAGATTTGCAAAACAATGTCTTTCCAAAGTTTTCACTTTCTTTTGTTTTATTTTTTAAACCATTTACCATGTTATAGGGAAGCCTCAAGCCTCAAGAAGTATCAAGTGGATTACATGCATGGTTGTCCCAAGGACCACTGGATTCTTATGGTATAATGTCTGACAAGTCACTAGCAATGTGTACATTGTAGAAATGTTGCCTCACAGAATACCAGTGTTTGTATTCCTTGTACAACGAGTATGTGGATTTTATACAACCTTGACTTCACAATCACCCTGTTAGATTTTACTTCACAGTAAATACAGTCGGGCCATCATCCCTTACTTTTTACCCACTACATACATATATACCAAAAACAAAGACCTAGATAAATTGAAGAACTGGGCTTTTGGGCCATTAACTTTTCTTTTGTTTCTCTTTTTTGTTTATTTGTTCACAGTTGCCAGCATCTGTTCTGGAGGACATTTTTATTGATGTGGTTCTCCAGGAGGGTGATGAGGCAATTTTGAAGCTGGCCCTTGTGTGCACTCGCTTCAGAGACCTTGTGGCACGGGAAGGCTTCAGGAGACGAGCCCATTTTCTTTGGCTTCACAGTAAGTGTTAATTGCTTGTTAACACTGTGCAGTCAGAGTTTTTGCATAACTTTTTCAAAAGTTACATATTTTTATAAAAATGCAGGTGATTTTTGATGATTGGCTGGTTAATGAATTTCAGCCTTGTGTATTTTTGTGTGTGATTTAAAAAAAAAAATGTTTTATGTGTACAGGTGTCACAAATTGGACTCTTTTCTCACCGTACTACAAGGCGGAATACTACAAAATGTACAAACTGGAAACGTGTAGGCAATGTGGAGACGTATACAAACACTGCACTCCAGGTATGCATTGTTAGTTGTTGCCATGGAGTGTTTTACTTTCAATGATGAATTAAAACATTTAAAAAATAATGAACATTGAAATATTTGCTTTCTTTGCTAACCCACAGGATATGGAGGTCGAGGAAGAAAGGGGGAACTTTTTAGAATAATAAGTGAAGACACCCACCCAGACTTCTGCAGCGAGTTCTGCCAGATCTGTGCTGACCAGTGTGAAAGGATGTGAAAATGTCTCTTTAAAACTTAAATGTCTCTATTAAACTTTTTTTTTGCTTTTTTTTATTTTATTGTGCTGGTAATGAATTTTTTATGCATTTATGTAAGTGAGATGCTCTTATGTTATGTACATTAAGTCAGATTCCCTTGTGAAGTCATTTATAAGTATAAAATTACTGCTGCTATAATGTAGTCACTTACAGTTGCATATTCAGTTGTGGAAAAAGCACACATATTTTCTACTTGAATTAAAACTTGATTTAATATTACTCAAAATTAGAAGCGCCTACTTATTAATATACTTAAGTATTTGAAATCAAAGTGCATGTGGACTACTGAGAGGGGTAAAAGATCAGCCAATCAAAGAATACATTTCTTTTTAAGAGATATTTATTCTTGCATGTAACAAGGAACCACATGCTTTTCAGGGAAGATGAAAGTAGAATTTTTAATCAATCTTTTTGTTTTGGATTATAATCAAACGCTTTTTCTAAAAAAAAAAAAATCGAATAAAATACTTGGCTATTGCCCACCACTATACATAATTAAAGGTACACATTCACACAATGTACAAACTGCAGTGTTTGTAACTTTTTCAACTTTATTAAATAAGATTTGTTTTCAGCAAGTTTGTTTTTCTGTCAAAAGTCAAGTCAGTGTAGATTTGTTTCAAAGCAGCTTTACAGAGATAAACGTATAATTTATGGTAACAGAGATTGTTTTGGCTTTATAGCGGTTATTTAATAAAGTTATTTTCCATCTAAAGTTAGTTTTAAATTGATTCGATTCCGTCGCAACGATCATTTGTTCTCTCTACACAGACGACACCGTTCTCTCTACACGGACTATAAACGCGAGCCTGTGAGAAACGCTAGGAATCTGTTGACCAATCAGAATGCAGTGGGAGGAAATCAAACTCCGCCCCTTGGATCTTGATCCGGCTCCGCCCCTTGGATCTCATGTACTGCATTGAGGTGCTACTGAAATCCACAGCACTTTGGTGAGAGGGGAGCTACTGCCACACAGGAACAGCCCTGCCTTCTCCAGGCCCCCAGCTCCAACAAAAAGAAAAGAGGAAAAAAGCAAGATTAGGGAAATACAACATTCAACATAAAACAAAATAAACAAACCAATACAAAAGCAGAAACACTTTTCTTCCAACTGCAACAGAACCAAAACCACAGGTAACAAACAGACTTGTTATAACAACACAAGGTCAAGAAAGCTAGACAGATTTGTTGAATGCAAAACCATAAATGCAAATCAAAACTAGTGAATGCCAAACAAATAAAGGCAAAACAAAAAGTATTAAATGCAACAAGTTATGAAATGCAACACAAAGGTATAAAATGCAACGGCAAAACAGAATTAAATAAAAACAGCAGTGTTGGAATGGCAAGGCATGATGTAGACCATGCTATAAGCCATGCAGAGCTGGACACCACAGAAATGGTACGCTCACAGAGAGGTTTAAACACCAACCAATGCAGACCACGGCATCTATCCAGCAGCCAAACCTTTATGGATCACATGCAGACGGCAGCAGTCGCTCAAAGAGGCATAATTATGAAATTATGAATACAAATATCAATGAAATAAAAAAAAAATGAAGAAAGTAAATTATACAATCGAATTATATTATTACTTACAAGGACAAAAAAACTGTTACCGTTAAATCGGTGACGTCACTCGCGCTAAAGGAGCAAATCAGATTGAGAGAAACTCTTTTGTGCGAGTGTCTGTTATGTTAACATTTGGCCCTACTTAATAATGATAACAACCATAAAGTATAAAAAAAACTATTATATATCCTCACAGATGCGAAAGGAAAATGAATTTGTTACACATACTCCTGAAGCGCGCACACCCACTTCTCAGACAGCACGTGAATAATGCCCCGTTCACACTACAAGCGACAAAGCGTCACGATACCATTCATTTCAATGGGGAGCTGGCGATTTCCGGCGACACGCGCGACAGCGACCGTTGGCGACCGGATGGGGCGTGTCTGGCGACGCAACAAAGTTGAGATCTGTTTAACTTTATGCAAATGAGGAGCGACTTTCGGGAGCGACAACCAATAGGAGCGGAGCGCGTATGATCCTTCTCCACATCATTGGATGTCATTCATAAAGGCAACCAGTAGTGGGAACTCCCACTAGCGACCTCATCGCCAGCCACTGGCGACATGCAGCGACAAAGTCGCTTGTAGTGTGAACGGGGCGTTAGCGCTCAAGCGCCCATGGAGATCGCCGAACACTCACGGAAAAAGACGAGATATTCTCAGTTCATTTTAAACTGCGGTCAAGCCATCTGTGCAGTGGAGAAGAGTGGTCATGCCATCTACGCTTGAAAATATATTGCGTGTCTACACAAGGTTGCGTGGTAGGCTAAAGGTGTAGGCGCTTGATGTCAGTAGGCATATTTTAAAATATTATAATAAAATTAATACAATCAAATTTTATTCTGCAAACTCCACCAGATTCTTGTTCTACATTTCTCCGAGTACCACTGTGGGGAATGTCATGTTGTTCTACTGTTTCATTCTTTAATAATTGCCTAACAAAATCATGACCAATACTATTTACACCATCAGTGGCAGCACAGGACCCAAAGCGAATGATCATATTCAGGTGCAGTAAAACGCCCAAACAAAAGCCAGCTTCACGAAGGGGCCCTCGTGCAAAGTGGCGAGACTCCGGAAATGCGATCAGCTGAGTATTTACCTTACCTCAAGCCTTTATATACACTCCCCTGACCAGAGCCCCATAACAAATGGTTACCTAGCGTGCGCATGCGTGTGGCTTCTTGGCTGCCCTTGTATGGAGTATAAAAGAGGTGGGCTTTGGCGACCGGAGATACGTCTTGGTATTGCCGTGATGTCATGTCATCTGTTGTCGCTGAAGGTTTAGACTAAGTCCTTGTCTTCCTGTCTGCTGTGCGCTCGCTGCCTTCTTATCTCAGGTGTTTTGTTCAGCCGTGTTATAAACAAGTGTTGACCGTGTTTAGCTGCTTCCAGTAAAATATTCATAGCATGTCATTTACAGCGGCATGTTTCTGATTGAGCGGCTGTATTCCCGTATGGTGTGCGACCATGAGTGGTTTGTTTACGTTGACCATCTCGCGGTATGTACAATCATAGCTTTGTTGCTTTAGTAATTTGTTACTCTCTTTAACATATTGTTGTTATGCTCTGCAGGTCTATCTGCAGACCCGAGGGTCCTCCCTGCCTACTTAATGGGATTCAGAGTCAATATTAAATCGTGAAGCGTCTGATTGTGACTACGTTGCTGTTTTGCCTCTACGTCTAATCTTAACGTTAACTGTGCGCACATCGTTGCAGTGTCGTTACGCGCCTCGGTCGGGGCTGGTGCGGCTTGCTGGCTGGTCTGTCTTCAACAGCTGCCATCTGCTTGATCTTTTGATGGTGCATCTGTATATTGATTTTATTTATATGAATGTTTGTTATTTTTGTTATGGTTCATAATTCACTCTGGGCATTGCAATTTATCACTGCTGAGAGTAAATTGTGTTTTTTTGTTCTCTCTTAAGAGAAGTCATTTGTATGTTTCTTTTTGTGGTTGTTTCTTGTTGCTGTGTTACATCTATATTGTGTTTTATAATTTGTTGATTTGTGTTTCTGTGTTTTCTTGGGGTTTCTGGAGAGGGGAGGCTAGCTGCTATCGTGTGTGGTGGTTACACCTAAGCCGTGTGTTTTCTTGCATTCAGTCTTCACGTGTGTGTGTGGGTGCGTGTATTGGGTTACTGGGGCTCCTGTTAATTTGGCAGCTAGCCTGTACCTCCAGGTACCTCTGCTGCTGGTCAACTAGCTTAATTTAAATATAGGTTTGTTGTTGTTGTGTGTGTCTGATGCAGATTGTGCACTTACTGTAAAGCTGATTCTAAGAATCTTGCTGTGACGTTTGAATTATTTATTGTACAAAATAAAGCGTACACTTTTCTAAATTCCCAAGAGGAGTTTATATTCAACATACATTTGATAATAAATAATTTTCAAGATAATACATTGTGATTGTGGCTGAAATAAGGAACTACATTGACCAAAATGCAATGTGGTTATTAGGAGGGGTTCGGGTGAGACAGAAGGACGTAGCGGGATTATTTAAGCAACAGGTGTGTGGGGTTAAAATGGGGAAGTTTGACAGACACACTTTTTAGAAAGAAATGGTATCTGTGAGAATTTTCAATCAGGATTTAGACCGTATCATAGTACTGAGACAGCTCTCATTAGAGTAACAAATGATTTGCTCTTATCATCCGATCGTGGATGTATCTCTCTATTATGGCGCTTTTCCATTACCAGTACCAGCTCGACTCGACTCGACTCGCCTAGGCTCGCCTCGACTCGGCTCGCTTTTCGCTCCGTTTTCCATTGCAGAAAGTACCGCCACAAATAGTACCCGGTCGTCATAGCGACGCATTTCGTTCCTCGTTGCCCCATCAAGCTCTCGCTGGATCCTCTCTTCGGCAACCAAACAAAGGAATGTCTGCACCTCCTCGTTTGACCACGGCGTATTCTTCCGAGTTGCCATAATAATAGTAGTAAGTTTAGTAACTATCTCTGGCAAAACTATTTAAAATACTCCATCTGGCGCGTGCAATGATGACGCAGATTCTCTGTGACCAATCAGCAGTCGGCATTGTTTTCACGTCACATTTTAGTATCGGCTTAGCTCGCCTCAGCTCGCTTGGAACCTCGCCGGAGGTGGTACGAAAAAAAGTACCCGAAAGCAGGTACAGGTACAAGTTTTACACAGTGGAAAACCAAACAGAGTCGAGTCGAGCCGAGCCGAGCCGAGCTGGTACTGTGTAGTGAAAAAGCGCCATTAGTGTTACTTGATCTTAGTGCTGCATTTGACACAATCAACCACAACATTCTTTTAAATAGACTCAAAAATTATGTTGGCATTAGTGGAATTGCATTGGCATGGTTTAAATCATAATTATCTGACCGTTATCAGTTTGTAGCAGTAAATGAAGAGATGTCTT